TCTTCTTCAATTGGGCTAGTCGACTTGCCTTTGCTGCCTCGGCCAGTTTCTCAGTTTGCGGGTCATCTGTACCTGCATGCGGTTCTGGCGGGGTCTCTGGGGGCTTTACTTCTGGCGTGACTGGTCTTTCAGGTGGCTTTGGGATCTCAGTTTTTCGCAGATTGACGAGTGGATTGGCAGAAGAACCAGTGGAGCTCAAGGGATCAGCGACCGTGTGAGTTGATTCCAATGCCACATTCAAGTGAGGGGCGGGAACGCCTCCTGCCATTTCAGCTGCTGATTTAGCGGCTGCTCCACCTTTGAAACTTGCCGTTGCACGACCACCATCCACAACAGAAGCAAACATCGGCTTAGGCCTGGGTAAGCTAAGAATCGGGTAGGCGACGAAAAGCCAGCTGAAGAGTGCCAAACGGATAAATCGATGGATGTCCATATTCTAAATCCAGACTGGGAATTGCCAAGGAACTCTAGAGATTAAATACATCACACAAATTGAGAAATGGTCAGTCATGGAGTATTTTAACAACGAATTTTCTTGAAGCATAGGGTCAAGTCTGATGACCCACCTTCTATGTTTTTGAAGTATGTTAAAAGATCGAAAGGCCTTGTAAAATGGCGACCAAAGATAGGTCTCAGTGTTAGAAGTAAAAGGAGAGACAATAAAGAGAGAGATAGCTATTGGTCCGTGATAAGAGCTTTGATAAAAGAATAGTAGTTATTTAAAGAATTAACTATGAATGATATGTAGACAGTGGAGATAGCAATGAAAACTAAAGACAGGATGATTGAAGATAAAGTGCTTTGAGAATTCAATTGTCTTTCGAATTATTGAATAAAAAAAGGAAGGGTGAAGTAGATAGAGTTCTAGAACCCTGATGAGTACATATATCTTGTGATAGCAAATAGGATGCCGCTCAAACTCGGTTGAGCCAGGCCTTTCTTTTGGCTGGAGATATTGCCCCTTCTTCTCGATTGTCGAGGGCGATTTGATTATTAACAAAGCCTGTTCGACGCCGGAAGCGTTGTATGTATTCCTCAGCCTGGGGTGCTTGATTATTTTTGGCAGCTCACTACGATTGTCCGAGAGATCCGTTGAGACCGCATTTCTACGAAACAGGTTCCTCATGAAGTGAGAGCCCAGTAAAACTAACAATAATAAAAGCCAGCATTCAACTGGGGTCTCCTCCCCCTCCTTATGCCAACAGGATGGCAGCCCATTCGTTATTCACAAATCGGAGTCTTGATCGATCACCAGTTTTACTGCAGTCTTGTCCGATGAGTCATTACAAACCTCACAACTGGGAATCACATTGATATGTGCCCATTCTCCAAATATGTATGTGGATACATAATTAAAACTCATTTAAGACTTCCAAGTGATTTTTTTTTTCTGTGTGTGATCAGTTTTGTTGATGATGATTTTGGTCAGGAAGGAGGACGCACGTCATTGCAGCTGATGGGGTGTTTTTGGGTGTACTTGATCTCTCAGTCAGTGCTCCCTCTGTTGAGTCTTGGAGCTGCAGTGTAGTATAAACCAGCCCGGTCTTCTCAGCCAAGAACTTGCCGAGACTTGCAGGCAGCATTCGAGTGTGTGTGTGTGTATTTCTTTTCTTGTTCTTGTTTCTGCTTCTTCTTCTTCTTGATGGATTCAGTCCGATGGTCGGGGTTGAGAATGAGATGTGTGGGGTGTGTGGTCAGTGATCCTGGGTGGTTGTTTTATCTTTAGTTTTGTCCAGTTTCTGCCCTGCCCTGCTTTGGCGGTCTCGATCGAGTCTCGGCTTTCATGCTCCACATTAATCAGCCTGGAATTATTAGCTGTGTTGCCTGAACAACTTACAAAGCCAACCACCAACCAACCACCATCCAGCCTCAGCCAACCAACTTCCCAAACTACTTAAAACCAACAACAACCATCTACTATCCATCCATCCATCCATCCATCCGTAACCAACCCTACCCTAGCCCCCCCCCCACAATCCTTTTTTTTATTTCTTCCTATCACTCATACATAGCATACTCACTTGGATATGCCCACACTTGAACAGGCTGCGCTATCCGGAACGCTCACCTCAATCGGACTCCCTCAAGAGCGCGATCCAGACGGACGGGAACCCGATCGATCCCAGGAGGAGTGCACACTCGAAGACCTCCTGGCCATAAATGACGATGACGACTATGACGACTTTGACCTACCCCAGCGCAATCGAGCCGCAGGAGGAGACGGCTATGGCTTCCTGAATACCAACTCCCCGGCCACCCACAACCCCCGATCGACCAGTCCCGCCGGCTCCCAATCGATGTCCAGAGGCTGGAGTGGTAATACTGGTCCCAAGGGGGTCCTGCTCGACTTCAAAGCCAGTCATGGGAAGAGTGGTGCCATCCTTGGTGGCGGGAACACTCTCAAACCCAACTACCCTCGTCAGATATCCATGTCCTCTGCTCTCGCCTCCAAACGATCCAACCCCACCAACGGCAATCGGCCATCCAGTCCAGCCAGTGACTCCGATTCATCCAACTCCAGCGACAGAGACCACCAGATCCGTACCAATACCGCACTCTGTAACTCCACCAAGACTACCACCCGACTCATCTTTTCCGATAACCATCAACAACATCGTCGGCCATTCGGCTCCTCCTCTCTCCCCTCATCCTCTCCATCCGGCATCAATAATAACCCCAGAGTCGACGCCAGGGGTAGGAAGTTGTTTGGCCATCTACGTGAAGTCGGGGTCGAGAACTTCATCCAGGCCGTCGAGGCTGAGAAGGATGACAAGGAAACCGTCGTCTTGGTCCATCTATACGATCCCGTTAGTCAATCATCGTCTTTCTTCTTGTTGTGCTGTCGATGATTAACTGATCCTGACCTTCTCTTTCTTCCTTCAAAACAAATTTAGGCACTCGAGTCATGCTTGATCCTTAATAATCATCTCTCCAACTTAGCCCGGGTACATCCCCGAACCAAGTTCCTGCGAGCGCTGGCCTCCGAGCTAGATTTTTTCAATGAGACGCCGGCGGCGAACAGCAGTAATGTAGGCGTCGGGATTCCGACCTTAGGGACGAGTCCGGTGCGCGGGTTTCACAGCTTGAACCTGATGGACGACGACCCGTTCGATGATGAACCACGATTATCCTCCGATCATCATCATCGTCATCATGATCATTCGGACGACGATCACCCTCTCGAAGGTAGGACCTGCAAGGCGACTGATAGCGACATCCTCCCCACCCTTATCTGGTATCGCTCCGGCGAATATGTCCAATCTTTGCCCGCACTCGAACGCGAACTTCCCTTGGGCGGAATCGTTAGAGGTGAACAAGGTTGTAGAGACTTGCAACGTTTGTTACGAAAGTCAGTCCACCTTTGTCAACCATCACCGCCCCCCCCTCCCAACTCGATCATTAATAACCTGCTCTTTCTTCGAATTAGGAATGGGATCATCAATGATCCAGAATCGGTGCCTTTGTAACTTTTGAATAGATTGATTCTATGAAATAGATGAAACCGTTCGTCCCCTGCTTTTTTTTTCTCTGGCTCCTATAAACACATTTCTCCTTCCTTTCATTCTAACTCTTTCTCTCGATGAATTTTCAATAAACCTTACACCTGTTCCTTTTCCTAATCCCCTTTCTTATGATTCTAGGTTTTTCCTTTTTTTTCAATCTCTTTCCTTTATATATATAAAGCTCACCCCCTCTTTTTCTCTCCTCTTGTCAAGTAGTATGTTCTTATGTGTACATGTTATCTTCTTTTTTTTCACTCCATCTTTAGAAAAAAAATAAGACATCCATCCACCCTGATGTACATATGTACATTCTATCATTCATATACACATATACATACTTACTTACATCCATAAATACGTACAACTTTACTTTTTTTCATGCATATATATACTTAATGTCTAACTTTTTTACAATGCTTTCACCTAATCAAATTAATAATTTAAGTTTTTACATCATTCTATCTCCCTCTCCATACTACATTATTGTTCTTTCTTTCTCTCTTTCTTTTTTTTCTATATTCTCCATTTCTCTTTCTTATGTTTTCACTTCTCAATGAATAAAGTAAACCAATGCATCTTTGTAGATAGAGTAGTACTTAAGTTAAGTCCTAGCCACTCCAAAAAAAAAAACTTCCACATAAACTTCGATCATCCTGTCATTGTCTTTCCTTTTTCTTCTCTCTCGATAAAAATGTTCTCCTTTTTGATTAGAAATATATATATATATGGGCTATCAATGCCTGGGCATAGGCCAAAGTTCAGCCAAAATGAGGCCAAGTGTGATGGGCTGATCCCAAAGCATGCTTGGCTGATCCTAAAGCCTATGTGGCACCCTCCCAACCCCTGCTTGGCACATGCCAAAGTTGGCGGGGTTTGGAGCAAAGCCTTGCTTGGCTGATGTCAAGTGAGGGTGCCATGCCTCCAAGAAGTCAATGCACCCCATAACTCAAGGGGTACATTGCTCTTCCACACCATTTAGAACACCACCCTTCCTCATCCATCACCAACACTCCAAGTCTGCTGAGGAGGAGGGAAACAGATTGGCAAGCCAACAGCCACTGCACGGATTGTTGTATACCATCCAAGGTCAACGTTTGTTGAAGACCCAGTCAGCCACAATCAGCGAGCGGTTGTAGGCAAAGCAGGAGCATGTCAGCAAGCTTGCATTCAAAGAAGAAAAAAATCCAAAAAAGAAATCCTGTTGAAGCTGGTGGTGGCGTGTTGTCCAAGCTAGAGATCATTCGTTCGTACTCGGGTACCTGTTGAATTTTTTTAAAAAATAGGTACCAAGTACCGCACCAGGCACCTCCCGGCGGGTACTACCGCGGGTACCTCCCCTCTCTTTCTAACCTAGGTTCACTTTCAGATTACCAAGTCACTTTTTTATTATTATTTTTTTCATATTTATTGTAAAATATCAGTCCCAAGTCACTTTTTTTCCATTCTTTCATATTTATTGTGAAATGTTGACAACAAATTGGAAGAATCCTACTTTGTTATTATATTTTCATATTTATTGAAAATATCATTCCCAAGTCACTGTTTTTTCCTTTTGTCATATTTGTTGTAAGACATCTCAAACTAATTGGAAGAACCTTACTTCATTATTATTATTATTTTCATATTTATTGTAAAACATTACTCAAGTCACTTTTTTGGCATTTTTTTCATATTTGTTGTCAAGTATCTACATCTAATGGGAAGAATCTTGCCTTTTTTCATATTTATTGTAAAACATCAATCCCAAGTCAATTTTTTCATTTGTTCACATTTAATATTTTATATTAAAGCTTAAACTGTCTACAAATTATATCTAATTAGAAGAATCTTCATTGTTGTCCAAAACTATCACCTTCCTTTTTGATTTTTGGTTAGACTTCTTGTTATCCTTGAGTCCCTGCTTCCATGTAGCCAAGGTACCTTCTTGGAGTTCTTGGAGTAGAAGGCCACAGTCATTTTGGTAGGGAAGTAAGGGGGTACCTGTAGGGGTACCTAGGTACCTGTTCAATTTTTCACAAAAATAGGTACCAAGTACCGCACCTGGCACCTCCTAACGGGTGCGGGGTACCCCCCAAGCGGTACTAGGTACCTAGCAAAGGGTACTGCGGAACGATCTCTAGTCCAAGCTGGGTCTTGGTCAATGAGTTGATGATCCTATGTGGCAACTGCTTGAAATTGGCCCAGCAAGGCTTGGCTATGTGCCAAGTCCTTTCCCCCGCAGAATCCGGATGATCCAGCCCTCTGGGCACACTCCAAACCCCCAGTGGCACTCAGCCAAGCGGGGCTTTGGTTTGTGTCCAGACACGCTTGCAAGAGGATATATGAAAACCTGCTCCATAGACAAAATGTTTACTTCTCTCACCCTAACAGTAACCACACTTATCTCTTCCAGATGGTAATGAGGCAGATTTTGATAGGCACGAGGGATGTAGCTGCCTGATTCACAACCACCCTTTCTTTGCAAACACTGCAAACATTCAAGCTCATATACAAACTAAAATCTTAGGAGTTGTGGAGGTTGCTTTTTTTGTTGTTGTTGTATGATTTATCCTAGCTTATAAACCCAATGTTGTCCCTGAGGGACACTCTTGACAGGAGAGGCTTGATTATGCATGAATGGTGACTGGCAGTGGAACAGGAGGAATGTTTGGGTAGGACCCCGGAAAAAGCCCATACCAAGCCACCTAATGTAAATCCCCCAAAATCTGGGTTTTCACTGCCTGGGAATATCCGTTTTTGGGGGGCAGATGCATGTTTTGCTACCTCCGACATCAGGGTGCTTTTTCTGAAAGTTATTTCAATAAATTTTCCTATCATGCATATATTTCAATTTTTTTTTCATCCTTGTGAAGAATCTCTGATCATTTCATGCATCAATTTCAACTGGTAGACAAATTGCTACCACATACGTCATGAGGATCATGTGCTGCTTTTTTTGTTTTTGTTTTTGCTACCTTTTTTGTGGATTTACATCATGAGGGACATTTTGAAAAAAAAAAAAAATCTGTTTTGCTACATTGTATATTAGGCAGCTTGGTTGGGGCTTTTTCCGGGGTCCTGGTTGGGCCAAAATCATTTCACAGTACAGTAAAACTAATCACATTGATTTCAAAAACAAAAAATCCTGAATTGAGCAAATTGTAGTCGTAATGGTTGTGCACATCCTGAGGCATTGGACAGATTTTGAGTTCCAAGTATAACTAGATGAAGGTCTAAAAAAACAGACGGTCTTTTGTCACAACACACAAGCAGGTAATAGAACTGATAGAGTCTTCAGATTGATCTAGAGATTTACTTGGGTATATGTCACCATCTAATCAGCACCTTTGTAATCATACTAGCCTAGGTTGGTCTGCAGAAGCCTGTGGATCCTCCAGATATTCCACTCATGTTAATCTTCCAGAATATAGTTGTGGCACACCTTTCAAGATCATTCCCATTTCCCTTGATCTTTGAAAGAAAAAAAAAAGAAAAAGAAAAAACAATATTTACTATTAGGAATTGAAAGATGAGAGCTGCGCCAAACAAAACAGTGGATTGAGCCTGTGAGCTTAGCTCTGGCCCAGGGTTCTGGCTGTCATGGGATCACAAGGACAGTACATGTCCAAAGAAAACCTCTCCAGCCAAAGTGGGATTCCCGTCCCGTCCAAAAATCAGACATTATATACCCACACCCCTTCCTCCAGCCGGGGTGAGCTTCACTCGCAGGTGCACACTTGCCTGCCAAGAGTCCAGGAAAGGAGATTGAAAAAGCTAATGATTTAACTAACTGTTTCTTTTTTGACTCTGATTCAACTCTGATTTGATAGGTGCTCATGATTGTGTTAAAAGATGTGGGGAAGCTTTGGGCCTTCCTCTGTTATCACAGGATCATTCATTCCTATGAATAACTGGATGTCAAAAAGGAATCCAACACAATTGCTTCAAACACATCAGTTGAGCTTGAAATTAGCAGATCAGAAATTCAAGTTCCCACACTTACAATTAGGATTCTGACCCTGCTATTGCCAATCAGTAGCATTGTTTGTGTAGTGTGGTGTTGCTTTCTGAGGCAGGTGTGTGTGTGATACCTTGCTCATAAACTGACTAGTATATGCCCCCAAATTTGGGGAGGCTGCTTGTTTTTGCCCCGGATGTTGGGGATCTTACTTATTTGAAGGTCCTATGGTGTATGTCCTTTGCTTTTGAAGGTCGCTATGATTGTAAAGTCTTAAATGACATTGACATGTGCAACATTGACGCCGGCGTTAGAAGCCGCATGAGAAATCAATACAAAGGCTGACAGTTTGTTTGGCCCTCTGAGGCCATTTTTTTTAGTTATATGTAGATGATCAAATTGTAGCCCGTCCAATGCTGAGGTTTAAAACACATAACTAGGGGTCTTCATACTAGAAATAGATAAACATCAATTCATAAATGATTCAGGCATGGATTATGTAATACGCAGTTCTGTGAAAAAAATGTTTCTTAATTTATGTTTATACATTCATGCACCAACTTTGAATATTTACCACTCATGCTTACTGATGTATTTGTATCCTTTTTTTTTCTGATGAGGGTGCTTAGATGATGATAGGCTGCTTCACATGAATTTTTGGCACATTTGTAGATACAATTTGACGAGTTTTGTCAAATCTCATGAATCATCAGGTTTGGATGAATTTGAGATTTTTGACAAAGCTCAGACATGAACCGTCCTAATGTTAATATTAGAAATCAGTAAGCAGAAGTTTTAATTCAAACCAATTATAGGATCTTCTAAAAATTGCTAGGCTTTGACTGGCCCTACTTGGAATTACTCCTTGTCACCCTTTAAATTCAACAATTAGAGACCTTCTAGGGATCATTCTTAAATTCTTGACACAACCACTGATCAACTCAGAAACCACCAGATGTCAGTTGACTCAAATGAGCCATATTGAGAAGAAACAAATTCTTAGAATGCTTGATTGCTTTGGTTAGTATTCTCAGGTTCACTAAAATTGTGTCTAGAAAATTCTAGTCCTGAGCCCGACAATGTGAGTATGGCTATTTCAAGTTGACATCCATGAAGCTCTTCATATGAGGAATAACTAGTTGCTCAAGCTGGATTGATTCAACCTGGCTTCAATATACTGCAAAAAAAAGGAAAATGATGGCATGATGCGAGGTTTTGAGCAATATTGGAATACCGGATGATGTGTTTGAGCTGGCCGTTGTTCTTGTCAACTGGATGTGTTTTGATGAGAAGAAGCTGATTGGAGTCCAGACTGAAATCAACCTGAAACCTGTTTTGGGTGGTATCGACTCACTCCTCACTAAAACAACAACAACAACAACACTCACTTCAAACCAACAAAAAACCAGAAAACCAGAAAACCAAAAACAAACCAAGAAACAAACAAGCAAACAGATGAGACATACACCACCAACCGGAGCACGTTCAGGCCTCAGAGCAGGAGGCCATCTCGGCCAATCCATCGTCAAGTTAATCCTCCTCACCAGCTCAGCATTCCCTCTCTTCGGCTCCCCGATCAACCCAAGCAACACCACCTCAACCTCCACCCTCCAATCCCAAGCCAATACTCCAAGATCCTCCATCTTCCATGGCACCTACCTCGACGGGGTCATCGTCCCTCTCCGCCAGCTCGAACGCTCTTCCCCTCAGTTCTGGTGGATGATGTCCGTCATCGTCTTCTTGGTCCTTCTTGGAGGCTGTTTCGCTGGTCTCACTCTAGGTTCGCTCTTTCAATTCATTCCAATAATCTCCCCCCCCCAAAAAAACACACATTTCAAAAACTGATTTGTATTCTTCTGTTAGGTCTCATGGGTTTAGATATCTTAAACTTACGGGTCTTGAGTACCAGCGGAAGCGAAACCGAACAAGTCCAAGCCCAAAAAGTGCTCAAACTACTCGAACGAGGGCGCCATTGGGTCCTAGTCGTCCTCCTCCTCAGTAACGTCGTCGTCAATGAAACCTTGCCCATCTTCCTGTCCGTCCAAATCTCTCTTTCTCTCTCATTCTAACAAAGAATCTCATAGGTGATTGCTTACATTTATTCTCAATACTTGTTTAGTGATACCGTCTTGGGTGGTGGGGCCGCTGCTATCCTGATCTCTACTGCCTTAATCGTCGTGTAAGTTGAACCCTCGTCCGTCCATTGACGTAATACATTGAAGAAAAAAAAAACCCCTTCCCTGCAAACCCCCCAAAAACAAAAAACCCACAAAGTATGCAGAGAAGATTGACTAATCCAACGCTCCCATTCTTTCCTAAAAACAAAAATAACAGATTTGGGGAGATCATTCCACAATCGATATGTGTAAGATATGGGCTGTCCATCGGTGCGAAATCCGCCCCATTTGTGCTAGCCTTGATGTACCTCGAGTTCCCCATCGCCTACCCAATCGCCTTGCTCTTGGACTACATTCTCGGCCATGATGAAGGAACGACTTATCGCAAAGCCGAGCTCAAAACTTTTGTCGGACTGCATCGTCGTCAGTATCTTCATTTTGGAAACTTCTCACTGAAAAACAAACAAAAAAAAAATCAATCCTACTCATTAATCTATCGGTGTTTTCTTGTGCTCAATTTTCTTATCTTTTTTCCTGTTCATTTTAGACATTGGAACTGACGGCTTGAATGAAGATGAAGTAACAATCATCTCAGCCGTCCTAGACTTATCAGGAAAAAGTAAGAGAACCAATGCCAATACCAATGACCGAAACCAGATCCCTTCCTCACACTTCTCTCTCTCGTTTTGGTCCATAGCCATTGTGGACATCATGACTCCAATCGAAGAGACGTTCACACTAGGAGAGGATTCGATCTTGGATGAATCGACGGTCACTGAGCTGGTCAGTCAAGGATATTCTCGGGTCCCGATCCATCAAGCTGGACATGATAGGAACTTTATTGGCATGCTCCTGTTAGCTTTCTTTTTTTCTCTTTTTTTTCGTTATCCATCATTTTAATCTGTACCATCGGGATTTAAATCTTTTAAACATTTTTTTTTCCTCCTCCGGTCTCATTCTTCATCAGTGTCAAACATTTAATTAGTTATGATCCTGAAGACGCTAAACCGGTCCGAGATTTTCAATTGAGTAACTTACCAGAAGGATCACCCGAGATGACCTGTTTAGAAGCGTAAGTCATTGACCCTCTTCTCAAAACTCAACTCCTGTCCTTCCGATCTCCTTCTCTTATGCAAACTTATGTCTGACTTTCACCTTCTTTGTTTCTTCCGAATCTGCACGTTTTTCTCAGTTTGAATTTCTTCCAACAAGGTCGCTCTCATATGTTATTGGTTTCCTCTCAACCTGGTGAACAAGGAGGTGCATTAGGCGTAGTCAGTCTGGAAGATGTCATTGAAGAGTAAACACCTTATTTTCGTCGCCCAACTCATTCATTCGAAACTTGTTTGAACTGATTCTGGATGTTTTTTTTCATACTTTTAATAGAATGATTGGTGAAGAGTAAGTTTTGATGACTGATTTTGCTTTCCAGAGAATTCAAGTGCTTAAGAGCTCATCTTGAAATCCTCACAGGATTATCGACGAAACCGACCAATATGTGGACGTGGCTCATAAGATTAAAGTGGTCCGTAAACCGGTGACCAACCGGACATCAACCCGAGGCTTAGCCCCATTACTCAAAGGTCTGTCTACCAAAAACAAAAACAAAAAACAGAAGACGAGGACAGTCAAAGCAGAGTTCTGATTACGTGCTGCTTTGCTTACTTTTTTCATACACAGGAGTGATTGAGAAACGACGACAAGGGGAACCAAGGATCAGTCGATCAGAGTACGGGGAAGGAGAAGAATATGCGAGCGGGGACGGACTGGGCGCGCTTACGGCGACGTCACGACGGGTGCCGCATCTCTCGTCGGCGGTGGCGAGCAACCGGAGCTCGATGGACATGCCCTCGTGGCGGTCGCCGGTGCTAGATAAGGTCAAGCTGAAGGGCGGCGAGGCCCGTGCGCAACGGGCCGAGTCCGAGTCCAGACGCAGGAAACTCCTGACTAAGAGCTCGTTCCAGGAAACTCATAGAGCTATCGAAGAGGACCTGGCGTCGAGCGTCCATGAGGATAGCGGGACCGAGAACACCCCCTTGCTCGATTGAATCATCCCCTCCCCCCCTCTCTCTCACTCACTTTCCTACTCCTTTTATCGTTCAAATCCTCTTCGTCCTCGACTCCCCAATTGCGCCAATGGACGTCATCTGCCCCAATCCTCCAATTTCAACTTTTCTCTTTTCTTTGAGCAGTTCACGGTCTCGTCTTACCAGTCTATGACTATCAGATTACCTTCTCGCTTTGCTTTATAATAACCAGAACAACACCAACACAAACCCAAACAAACAAAAAACACTTCGTGGTTCTATTCTTTAATTAACTGAATCCTCTGATCAGTTTCCCATCTTTAGATGTCCTCATCAGTCAATCAATATCCTCTCTCTCTCTCCTCCTCTTTCTTTCCCTTCCCTTTTTTTTCTTATTATAGGAGGAGGAACAGGGGGGCGGGGGGGAGAGAAAGTAGATAAGGCTTGTCATGAAATAATCAGCCAGTGGGTTTCATCACGGTGCCGATGATGGATTTTACCGTTCTCCTATCCACTGACAACTTGATCAGTGTTTATTTTTATTTTCTCTCTCATTTAGTCCAACTATAGTTCGAAGTATAGAGTACCATTTTTTACATATCCCTTATGAGTTATCTATCTATATAAATATATATATATATGTTAGTGTGTGTGTGTGCGTTTGAGGCATTTCTCTGTTTGATCTCCTTCTTATTCGCTTTGTTTTATTCATCTTCATCTTCATCTGACCTGTCATGAGCTCCATCATCGTACCTCAGCAGATCCTTAACACACAACCATCCAAGTTGTCCATCAATACTTGCTACCCTTTTCGTTTCGTTTCGTTTCGTTTCTCTCTCTTTTTTTTTATAAAAATTCTTCGAATTGATTCATGTCGTGTATGTATTATTATTATCCTTCACCTTTAAATATATAAATATTTCTACGTATATATGAGAATGATTCGAGTTAACGGCATCAACCTCATCAAGGTTAATCTTTGCTTGTGAACATCATGTTAAGACTGGATCTGTTAAGGTGCGGGGTATTACTGAGGAGCTGTTAGCAGTGCCAATGGCCCCCAGTGAACTTGGAACAAGAACAAGAAACATGACCAGTCATGAAGACTTGACATTGGGAGATAGGTGTAAACAAACACCAGTGGTTGGGTGCATAGCCAGTTGTAAAAATAGAAACAGCATTTTAACAAAAACAAATGACGAAATGTTTCCTCCAAGTCCAGTACTTCACAATTTTCCTGCTACAATGGCATCTTGACAAGCATTGCCTTTTATCGAATCTAACACTTGGATCGCGTCGTAATTACTCAAGCGCTCAAAGCGACCAGTTCGGGAATAGCACAGCATTCAACCATTTGGTATCAATCAAATGACCCCTGGACCAAGTAACAAGAGCATGTGACAATTTCATTTCAGATACATTGATGTGAAGAAAAAAAAAACATGGCTAAAACAGTGTAACACGACACACACTTGGAGGCTGGACGGCTTTATTTATCTAAGCAATGACTACATTTGGTTTTGTTGACTGCTTTGATGGGACACATAAATAACCATAAAGTTTTTTTTTCATCTTTTCAAAATTCAAACATTTTTACCGTTAATGTCACGAAGTTGGCTCAATTCATTGGTGTTGATGATTCTCAGCACGCCAGGTGCAGCAGCGTTACCGGTTATCTTGGCTTTAGCGATATCCATCGTTTGTGATACCTTGCTCTTCGCGTTCCACTGTTGTGATAGATAGAGCATTAAAACATCAGAGTCGGTCGGTCACATCGATTGAAATAGATTTATCAGAGATGTTCTGTTAACTCACATAGCGTATTTCAGTCGGCTTAACTTGGATGGCCGCGACTCTCGGATCATCATAATTACCGGTGTGTTTGCCGTCACCCAAATTCCCGAACCAGGCGCTAAGAGAGGAACTCCAAATCTTCTTTATTTCCTCATGATCTTCGATAATTTTCGCTTGGCCTGCACATCAATCAAAGGACACATCAGTTATCTATATGTGTTCTCTTTGGATGTCAAGGAATAGTTGATCATATCAAACATGACGGAGTTCTCACCTGAAACTGATACCCAATCAGTGTTGGCGGGATCGTAAAAAGATACGTTACAGGAGGGGTCGTGTTGAAGGTCTTCGAATTTTTCTGCACCAAACCAAAAAAAAGCACTCAGGATTGCCCAGAACAAAGCCCCTACTTCAAACCAACGAGTTGCTCGAAAAAGAAAAGTGGGGAATCAATTAATACCCGAATGGTTATTGGCCACAAATTCGAATACCAAGCCTTTTTTGGATGCGGGTACCATAGCGCGCGAGTTCAAAGCACCGCCATTGTGTCGAGTAGTGAGCATGGCAGCTAAAAATGTTCTGCAAGTAATTAGTGAGCTCGTTCAACAAATTGATTTATTAACTTGAAATCTCCTTACTCTTAACGTGTTCGACAATCTTATCGACTTGAAAAAAGAGAGATGGTTCATGACGATGATTAGTTATGTCACCCTTAATAAGAGATCGAACCATGAACTAAAAGACAAGTACCTTCTTCGGCCTTCTGTTGAGTAGGGGCATCTTCAGATGCTTTCTGAACATAAGGGTCTGCCTCCATTATTATCAACTGTTGAAAAATCTTTGAAATAAAGACGAAGGAAAAAGCTCGTCTCAATCTTATCGCTCGAAACCCCCCCAAAAAAAGTAAAATCAAACAAGAGTACTGCGGTACGAACCGAATCAACCGAGATGGCAATTGGAGTTAAGCGTTGGTTTTTGAAAATTATGGTCAGGTGAGGATAATGTGGTTGTTTTTTGTTTTTCGTGACCGAGGGGAAGGTACGGGGTCAAGAAGAGCAGAAGAACGATGGAATCGATGTGGATGGTCATCAATCCATCAGATTCAGCACAGCAGTCATTACCAGCAGAGTTGGCTGAATTGGAGATAACTTGGCCCAGTTGGGGAGATCCTCACCACCATCCGATCCCAAGCTGAGCCAGAAGCTCGAGTGATTAATTGATTAATTAATTCCAGATCAAATGCGTGAAAGATTAAAGGCCTGACTCATGAGATTGATCATTAACCAGTTGGAATGGCTGGAGCTGGCTTGGATTGCCCATTCCGGATGGCTTTGAAAGCCGGCGCATATTTCACCCGTTAATTACCCCGAGCGATGACTCAACCAAAATTGGCTTTCCAAAGCCAAACCGGCGGACACAGCAACCGATTGGCACCTCTGCCTCATGAAATCATCGCACTCATGAGTCATGATTCGTAGCAACCTCATAATCGGGCTGTCTGTGAGGTCTGGGTCTGAAAAGTTAACTCATGATCACTGAACTCTATCCACCTCGTCCCACTCAATGACGTACTCTTCATTACCCTGTCAGGGCAATTAAACCACCCCGCAACACAGCCTAAAATCCATAATGTTGGCCGTGCCGCTGTCGCATTCCGGGTGCCCAGTATGATCGAGCGGTGGAGACAGAACGTTGGTAGCCAGAAATTACTGTGTCCTTGCCTATCTCGGATGAATCAGGCGGGGTTGAGCCTCCGACATCGATAATTATGTCTATTGTGCCTTTGTGGCTAGTTGGGCCCGGAGTTTGTGAAGTCTATTCTCCTTTCAGTGCCTCTGGTTTCGAGAATTCCGTTTTTCTCCAAAATTGGGAAATCGAAACCAGTCTTTGCTAGACATGTTGCTTCCACAAATTCCTTTGCACAATTGAGTGAGGTTACTTGACGTTCTTGCTAACTGACCATATTAATGAAATGGACAAGAATCCTACTGAGATCTGGTTATTCTCACTGATTTCTGGGCTCATTACAGTGTCCATTTTCTCCGTACTCAGTGAGACTCAGTGGCGAACGGTTGATAGAGATATGGGTAGTGACAAGCCCCAGCGTGGGTTGCAATAGCGGTGTGGCTAATCTCTGATTTACAGGCTTCAAATTTTGTAGGATGCGATGTGGGACTCATGTTAGCAATGATGAGATTGGCTACGACGCATGCGCGTTCAAGTGGACGTATTTATGAGTCTTTGAAATCAAAACAGGCCTCAGTGCTTTTGTAAGCTACCCTCCTTTTTAAATGACTCTCGAACTCAGGAAACTAGACTAAAGTTACAACTACGGCAGGGCAGACATGATGAGAGGAAGAGGAAAACAAGCTTCATAAGGGTTGGCCTACAAGACACATAAGAACTATCGCAACAATCTCACATCACGGTCTCTGAATCGCCTCGCCACGGTGGTGAAGCTGGGCGGTGGTCAAGCTGCATTCATGCATTGCGGTCTTCGCTGACTGACTGAGCATTGGGATACAGAGATGTCCGAATGGAAATGTTTCTTAGTTTGCGGTATTTCCGTTGCGGCGGCGTATTTCTTTACGGACGATAGGTCGATGCCTGGACTTGAGGTTTGGTTGCTGGGGCGGGATGGAATTCGCATCAGCTCCATGAGCTTCGATCTGATCTCGTCGGGTATCTTCCCAGTACTGTTCACAGTCGGCATACCAGTGGCCAGTTTTGCCGCAGTAACGGCATTCACGTCCATACGGTTCTAATAAGGTGGAGTGATCTCTACCTTTATAGTATAACGCTTTTTCAAGGGTTGATTTTCTGAAGGCAAAGCGTTGGGTATAATCGGGACTCGACTTGTTGGCTTGTTCGTGAGGAAATGTTTCCTTGTTTTCCTCAGATATCAAAGCTTCTCCCAACATTTTGAACTCGAAGGGTATAGAGCCTGTTGTAAGTTGATCAGATGCACCAGCCTTGCTTGATGGTAATTGATTGATCGTCGTCACTTCACCGCGCGGGGGTATTCCCATCTTGCTGCCTAGGGGCTGACTGACGGAGGATTCAATTTCCGAAGGAGCCGGCTCGACTTGTGAGGATTCCAATGCTTGCACCGGTGTTTTGGAATTTGAGGGTATCGAACCGAGTGTGAGTTGATCAGATGTATCAGCCTTGTGCGGCACCGATTGATCGATCGTCGTAACCTCACCGCCTGTCGGTATTTCCTTCTTGTCGTTGAGGGGCTGACTGATGGATGACTCAGTTTGGGGAGGAGCCGGCTTGTCTTGTGAGGATTCCAAAGCTTCCACTGATAACTTGTTGGCATCGGGAGGTATCGAACTGTGTGTGAGCTGATGATCAGATGTACGAGCCTTATTCAATGCTGATCGAATGATTGTTGCAACTTCATCAAGTCTCGGTATTTTCGTCTGGTCGTCGAGGGTCTGAGCAATGGAGGACTCAAAGTTCTTACTGTCGACTCCAGGCGGGGCGATGGCAAGCGATTGCATCAGTAGACCACCAAGTTCATCAACCGATATTTTAGCTTGTTTGATGTCAGTCATGATTGTGTGGAATCTGTTGAGCCAATCTTCACTTGCTGGTGATTGCTCAACAGCAAGCTTGATTATCTCCTTCGCAAGGATGATCTTGTGTCTTCTTTCAGGTCTTTCGCATGTTTCTCGCAGGAGATCGAAGAGCTCTACTGCCGGCATCCATCCTCCTGTTACGACGACCGTGCTCAACTCCTCATCAATAGTCCCAACAATCAGGCTAGTGACCGCTCGATTTTGAAGCATAAGGAGATCGAAGGAGTTGTGAAGATCGTCAAAAAACGATTGATCGCGAGAGAAGGCAAACTGGAGAGTTCGATCAATAGCTTTCGTCCATTCGACGTAATTTGATCCATCAAAGGCGAGGATTGGTCCGATTGGATTTACTTGATTGAAAACATCAACCGGCAACTGGATGAATAAGTTTAACTTCATATCTTCAATCAAGTTTAAGTTTTCTTGGAGATGGGGAGAAACTGGTTGTTCTCGAGCGGCTGCTGCGAGGTTACCAAGAACTTGCGCTTGTTGACTCATGATATGATTCATCTTGTCCAGTTTTCTTTGCAGGGAATATATGTCGTCTGGGTCGGTATTGTTGGCCATGGTGTCGAGTTGGAAATCTCCAAAAGACTTCTGAGAGTCTTCCGCGTCGAATTCACAGTTCATTCAGGGGTCAAGCACCTGGCCCAGAGCCGGCTTCAAGCTGTTGGGAACGCGACAGTTACAGATGTAAGTTAATGTGAAGGCAGTGGTAGTTAACATGAGCTGATGAGATGTGCCAGCATAAAACTGTCAGCTACCTACCTACACAAGTTTCCAGTTCTCTTTGCAAATCGGTATGACTACAAAGCGGCCAACTAGGATAAGAGAGGCCTAGCTGGGATCAACGCACAAGATGATGAAGCGGAATGGAAATCTGTGGAGTTTATGGGTATCAATGAAAAGAGAGACTGGGAAGAAGAAGCCCTACAAATATATACCCAAGAACTCATGGCGAAAGCGGGGCGAGTGGTCTTGTAGATCACCGGGAATACCGGAACTGGATCAAGGGCAAGAGTCTGGTGAGGCTACAACGCGTCTGTTTGTACTGTTGATCTGAGCTTTCTTGCCTCTTGTGGAGTCCCTGATTTCCTGCTGTGAGCGGTGTTAGCATCATATGGGTTTGTTCTCAAGTGGATATCTGTGGATATGAGATCATTTCCACCCGTCATTGTGATCATCTGCCGGATGAAAATTCACATAAAGCAATATAAATAATTATTTGTGACACAAGCAGGCCGGCACACACCACGGGCGAACGTCTTGAAAGCTTCAGCCAGAACCCGAATGATCGGAATGGTATCGACCGAGAAAGATTTGGCTATGAGGTTCAAGGGCTTGCATCACCCTTGATCTATGTTTGTGTTACATCAGAACTCGAAAAACCGAATTCCGAGCTGATACACAATAGAGTGGAGCAAGCAGAATTTGTTTGGAATTTATGACATGCAAATTGCAAAATAATACAAATAAAAACTCATCATAAAATTACGTAAATAAGATGCTACTTGTATGCGACTGAAGGCATTTTTTTTCTGTTCTCTTGAGTGGATGCGAGGAAAGAAAAAGGAATAAAACAATATAGATAAACTACTTGCAATACATATACATATATACTTTTTTGTGTTTTTGATAGATGTATATATACTTTTTTGATTGATTGAAATTATTTAATTTAGGTTATAAAAAAAAGATGTACAAAAGAAAGAAAAGCGAGAGAGTCTATAGGGGAAGAACGGAAAGAATTAAATGAAAGCGGGAAGAATGGCTTTGAGCTGAGTCAAATCTTTGTTAACGAGACAAGATTCCAAGTCATTTTGAGAATGAATGAAATGATTTTTGACTCTAAAAGAGGGGCAAAAAAAGATTGATTTTGTCAGAATATTAACCAATCAAGTTTCAATGAGATGAACGAAGGATCAAGACGAACAAAGAACAATTGATTTCCAACGTTTGCCACAAGACGTCCGAAGTGACTCCACTAGTAGCTTGATGATCGACCCCAGAGAACCCGAGAGAAGAGGTTGATGCAGAAGAAGAAGCTTGATCCTGGATGACCAAAGCATCAAAAAGATTTCTGATCGAGTCCATATATTTTCCCAGGTTGATTAACGAGATCGACAAGTTATATCTAGCTCGAATATAACTCGGTGATAATTCGATCGCTCTATGATAATACCTATATTACCACCCAAGGTATCAATCCTAGTTAGTAAGGCAAATTTCTCTTTCTCTCTGTACATATGTTTCTTGAGCAGTAGGGTTTAGGGAGAAGATAGAGAAGCAACTGAACTCGATAGCTTCTTCGGGTTTACCAGAATTAGCCAAAGTAGCACCAAGGCGATTAAAGAGAAGAGGGTCATCGGGACGGACGGCGAGAGCGGTACTAAAGCAATCACAAGCCTTTTCGAATTCGTCGTTAGAGTTAAAGAGGACTCCGAGGGCGATTTGAACGTCTGGGTCGACCGAGGCGGACTCAGGGATCCTTCCACCAAGTCGAGCTAGCTCGATCAACCGACCCGTCAATTCTCCATGCTTTGCCTTCAGCCTCGATGGGCCATCCTCCTCCGTCATCGATCCTGTTATATGGTCTGCCCCGTTCTGTTGTGGAGCCGAGTGAGCGAGGGCCACGTGACGATACTTGGGTACCCGAGAACTCTCCACCTCGATCCATCGCTCGATCTCTTCAAACGCTTCTGCCCGACGATTCTCGTTCGAATAACTGATCGCAAGCGCCAAGATGGCATCGGAGAGTTCGGGATCTAATTTGATGGCTTGTTGGAGAGCTTGGATGGCCATCTCTTCACGCTCGTTCTCCTGCTGTTTCACCCCAAGTTCGTACCATGCAATCGCCGACGAGGGATCACTCAAGACTTCTTTCTCCTTCTGGAGGACTGATTCCAGTGGTGAAATGTTCTCTGCATCTAGGGTGGAGTCTTCCCATGGCTCGTGGATTGAGTGATGCATGGATCTGTTTGTTTGGTCTGGTCGTATGAAGAGCTGTGGGTTGGCTTGTTGGAAATTGTATCCAGTTTCGGCTTTAAGGGTGCTAATTCGTTCTAAATACATGGCTGGTGAGATCGTAGTTGAACTAGAAGTAGATTCTTCGACAGTCAGTTTTCCCAGATCGTTCGCCATAGTTTCCCAGTCACTATGAAGCCTTTCCCATTCCTGTTGTTGTGCTGATGGTAGTTGTTGAAGTCGTTTGAGACGCTCCAATTCGAACTCTCGAGCGTGGATCGGGCGGCCAAACATACCCATTTCATCAAACTCCAAATTTTCTTGTTCTCCAGTGGCAGTGGCGGTATCGATGCTTTGTGGTTGATCGAATTCTTCGGTCCATGATTCGGTTGCACCGGGTACATGTGTGGCAGTATTGGTCCAGGTCTGTTTCTCTGGTCGACCGACCTCACTGGCTGCATTTAAGATGTCCTCCAACTCGGCAGTTAAGACGTCATCTGATTCCGAGATCCCACCTCCGTCACCTTGGAAGCGGTTCATCATAGCTTGATACTGTGTACGTTCAAGTTCCGCATCAGTCTCTTCCATCAACCCATTGATTTCCTGGATCCCATTCTCCAGATTTTCTCTATAAGCTGCTAGGGCTTGATCGGCAGAATAGAGCTGGCTTACAGAACTGTCGACTTGATCGAGTCCTGGCTGAGCATTTGATTGAGTTGGGTGTTCTTGTTCTGATTTGAGGTCTCTTGAGACGCCAAATGTTTGAGCGTTTTGCGGATGGGTTGACAGGCCAGCGGAAGTTTGTGGCTGAAGACGAAGCGTAGAAGGATCATTGATCTGAGTACTATGATTGATCGCCGAACTAGATCCTCCGACTGGTGCTATTTGTTGGACAACTTTATCACCTTCAACCTTCACTTCACCGTCTCGTAACTGCCTCATGAATTCCATGAAACTACTCTGTGTGAATTTATCTGCTGTGGAATTCTCGCTATTCGATTGATGATCATTGATCTCGATTGAGTTCTGAGCTTGTTTTCCATTCTCTACTGTGGCTATAAGAGAGGCGGCAGTTTTGGACAATGCATCGGGTGATGAGGAGTTGATCGGGGAGTGAGACCTGGCAAGGTACTCGGGTTCTTGATTTATCTGGCGCTGTTCTTCTATTTCCACTTGCACCGGATCGGCGACGATCGTGCTAGGCAGATGATGATCATACTTGAGAAAAGCGGAATCCCAATCTACAAATTCACACAGTTAGTCAGTACATGGCTATGATTGTTTTGGATATCTTAAAAGTCAGCAAATACTTACCTGGTGCGGTTGTTGAGTTAGAATGTTGAATGGCAGGTTCTTGATTGATCAAATGGGTTGTTGGTTGGATGGGATGATATGGATGGTGATGTGGAGTGAGCCGACCTGGTTGAGAGAATCCTAGAGAAGGGCCAAGGTGTGAGGTTGAAGGGACAATGTTTCGAGGTTGATTGAGTTCCTGATGCTCTAGATTACGCCGTGGTTGATTGGATTGTGATTGATTGAATTCTGATTGCCATTGTGGGTTATTGATTGAGGATGAATGCAGGACTGTGTATGCAGGGAAGATCTTGTCAGGTGGTATTTTTTCTTGTGATAGACAGATAGACAGATAGACAGATTGATTGATTGCTCACAAGATTGGATTGGTACTGATCTTAGGAATGCCGTTGACCAGTTCTTATGATGATCCTGATGATGATAGATAGCCTGTTGTTCTTGAGTCAGCTGTTGGTGTAGCTCGTTGGTTGTCGTTCTTGCTGTATTATTTTTCTTGATTGTTGTGGGTTGGAATCGGTGCTCAGATGCGTATGGCTGTCGTTCGAAGGTTTTGGTGAGTGAGCTGAGTGGGTTAACACCGTTCTGATTCTGGCATGAGTCGCTCGATGAACCTTGTAGGAGAAGTGAACCAAGACTGCTGCTGCCACTGCTGCTCATCTTGATGTTGTCTTGTGGAGATTGATGTGGTTGGTTCTTGGCTTTTTTTCCCTGTTGACCGCTCTGTTGACCATTCACAGCCATTCACACAAAATATGTATGACGTAATACGACACTCATGATCCGCATCCCCACCGGATAATCTGTATATTTCGGAGCACAGGCTCGGGTCTCGGCCTGTCTCGCCGCCTCTGGACCCCGTCTCCTTATGGTTGATGACTTCTTCTCTTCACAGTTCAGTCTCGACCCATCCACCTCCGAATTTGAACAGTCCATCCGAAAAAAGGGAGGCCACTCTTCTCCTCGGACGGACCTAGACAAGTTCCACCCACCGCATTCACTCCCCATCCACCACCCACCATCAGCCTGAGTGGATCTCGGGCCTCGGCATCCTCCCGAGCTCCGACAAGTCTTAACGATGCATTTATTAGACAGTTGAAGTCAAGCCTGGATGAAACAAATTATGTAGCATGATCAACTTCCCAAAGCTTATGTTATATAGTTAAACCTTTTCGACTGTTGTAGAATGTAGAACACTCTATTCTGAAGCTCATCGGCCGATTCTCCAATTTGTTGTAATTAGGCATCAGGGGTGGCAATTCAATTCATGTACAACAAATCTAACCGAGAAACTGTCTTGCTTCTACCAAACCACCATCCAAGTAAACTAATCAACATGATGATGATGATGATGATGGTGATGATAAGTCTATTATCGGATTTAGGAGCCATGCTCGCAGTAATTTTAAAAATCTGACTTGGAACACTACTACCACTCGTCTCGATTCTGATCCCCTAGGCCTACATATACCACTTGCTCACCCAGATCATCATCAATCATTAGATTTACATGACACACCACATAACCGATTTTCATTTGTCTCTGAATCTTAAGCGGGAAATAGCTATAAACTGATACATAAGCATTGTAATTTTTTCCAGTCATGTTATTTATCATCCAAGCCGCTCTCGCAGCATTACTTGTTCAAGACTTTCTTAGCTTCTGTTCTGGTGGATTACAAGGAGAAGACGTGGTCGAGTCGACGGACGATCTAGCGCCCCCAGCCTGTGGCAATTGTCGTTTGACAGACCGAGTGGTCGGCACCCCAACCGACCGACATTGTCCCGATTTAAGGGATTGTCAAAGACACACCTGTCTCCAATATCAAACTGGCATCGTGTTTCGGTGTAGAAGATGCCTAGAATGGCCCGGCTTAACCAAATGGCACCCATGTGACGACAAACAGATCTATCATGATCATTGTGCTACCTGTCAACCTCCCTCCGTCATCGATCCACCTTGGCCCATGATCAGTCCTTCCGATAATCATCCTCATCGGGTTCATCGGCCATCCTCCTCCAGAGCCCCATCTGCTTCTTCTTCCGCCGCCTCTAATTCCGTTCAGGTCGACCCTCATCTCCGGAATATACGCTTCTGTAAGTATATTCTTCCTGTTTATATCTCGGTTTTCGAAAGAAAGGAAACAGAGCTGAATGAGCTTCATAATCATCTTTCTCCAACTTTCAAGATCATTTCTTATGATTCCAGCTTCTTAGCTACATTAAATACCTCTATTGGACAAAAAACAAAACTATGCACTGCAACCAATCACCATTGGGGAAAACATAAATATCCCCAATTTTTCATCCGAGAGAGGGAGAAAAAAAATGATGAAAGCTCATACAAAGGTTGTGGCAAGAAATTTCCTTTTTTTATTTATTTGAAGCAATTGTGCTGTTTTATAGACATCAGCCTCATCCAATTTGGATCACACATCCATTAACTAGAAATCAAGTCAAACAACTCCAATAAATATTACATACTCTTAGACCATGTTTGGCTGCAAATCATGAGATGTGATTTGGCTAAGGTTTGGTGCGGATTTGGGCCGTTTGATATAAGAACATATGGAAATTTTGCTTGAACTCACACCAAACCTTGCCTCCAAATTACAACTTACAGACGGCCAAGCAGGGCCTTGATAAAATCACAATTATCATCATCATCCTGTCCATATCACTTCACTACAGTAAACTTGTTGCAGCTGGCCTGCACATGAAACTTGAAGCTCAAAAATTTCATTATACATCCTTCCAGTCAATCTCTTTGGCACCCCAAGGTAATACCACCAAAGCATATTAGAAGACTGATTGCTGTTTCTATTGAGGTTTGATCAGATTGACAGATATTCATACATGTGAACATGCAAATTAGGTAGTGAGGGGAGTCTTCCATAAAGATTGGCCAGGAATGGGATAGCTATAAACTGCCTGCTGAGTACACTAAAAAAAAGAGTGATGTAAAAAATAGCTGGTTTTAAATGCAAGATTACAATGCATTTTCTATAGTTAGTTGTATCTCTGGTTTAGTAAATATCTGGCTCTTCATGGTGTTTATAATGGACACTCTCAAAACTCCTTTTATCATAAATGCATTATCTATTCATCAAATTCAGAGTATGGTTCCTACCTGCATCATCCCCAAAAGCTTGGTCTGACAAGATACATGGGGAAATTATTTACACAAACCTTCCCTTGTATCTGAGTTTCTGGGTTGTGTCGCTGTATAGTGTAGATTGAATATGGGTTTACTCTGAGCTTGGGCAGGAATTAAGTGTGTGCCTCATGATGTCACCTGTCAACAAGTCACATAACATATTTCATGGTGGGAAACCAGTTAATTTTTCAAAACTGAAATCTTCCATAAATGGGTTCCCAAAGGGGGTAGATGAAGGACTAGCATGTTTAAAAAACGGTGTGTTTTTCCAAACAATTCAATTATATCATGGCAGCTTGGGTCATATTTGATACACCCAATATTTTTTGTGGGTTTTCCCTTTTCTGCGGGTACTCCATAAGGAAATATGTATGCTCATTTCAAATAAAATTGCATTGAAAAAAAATTCCTGAGTTCTGGTTTAGCTTCAAGTTGCTGATTAATCAACTATTATTGATGAACAAGGAAGAAGTAGTTCACAGAACTCCTTGATTCTCCTCAATTTTTTAGATTCTAAGGTCAAGGAAGAAACAATAAAAAAATCTGGAATGAAATGTTTGTCACAACAAGCAAACTAGACAAATAATGACTTGAATGTAGAGCCACTCTACTTCTTTTGAAATAAAGTTTTTATCTTAGGTATCAAAAGATATGTCAGGATTTCATATCATGGTGCAAATCTCAAGAAACTAATTCTATTTGAATGTAGGAAATTTCCATCAAAGATGAGTTGTAAATCAGATCTTCCTCAACAGTTAATTCAACCAAACTTCAATGCACATGAGTGAACATTGAACAGCTGTGAAGATGTGTTCACTTCAAAATACATTGAAGTTACAACACAGGTTACATTGGGAGTGCTCTGCATGTGAAATGTTCCCATTTTTTCAAAAGAAAACAATAGGGGGTATCAAATATAACTATGGTATTCAAATTTGAAATGCATGAAATCATAACCGCATAAATCATAAGATCTTAAAACCTTGTTTGCAGGGGATCTTGGTAATCTGATCATGTAAGCTTTGGCTTTCCCAGCCAAAATGTTTTATGATTATATGATTTATGCACTCCATGATTTCATGCATTTCAACTTTGAATACCATAAACCAAGGCCACCATTATTTAATTGACTGCTTTGAAAAAATCCACCTTTTGTTAAACATATTGGTTCTTCATTTAACCCCTCTTGGGGCCCATTGATGCAAAAAAAGTGGTGGGAAAAGTGACTGTTTCATTTGCTAATGGTGGATTTCCTATATTTGATACCCCCCAGTAGTTTTACCTTGTTAGATTCAATTATTACATTGGGTGGCTGGAATATTGGACTCAATAATTATTTTTTGCACAAGATTAGTGAGACACTTGTCCAGGGAACAATCATTGGTTCACTTGAGTTTTGTGTTGAGCAATTGATCACAAATCTTACAAAATGCTAATTCTTTGGGATTTTGTAGATAAGATAATAATTTAGGGTCTTAGTTAAACGACTCCCAAATATTGGAGATCCGACTCCCAAATATTTGGGACGTCACTAAGACCCCCTGCAGACGGTCCGCAGGCCGTCCACCCCCGGAGATGGGAGTCGGACCTCCCAAACCTTCAACAGGTTTGGGAGTCAATCATCCCAAAAAAAATAATAAAAAAATATAAAAAAAATAAAAAAACCCGGGGGTTTTTGGGAGTCGATCTTCAAAAACCCCCAGGGAGGTGGCGAGTCGGCGCCGGACTCTCAGCGGCGGAGAGGAATCCCTCTCCGCCGATGAGAGTGCATACTCTCACCGGCCG